TAAACAAACTGTCTGGTTTTGGGTAACTTTTGTTCTAGTTTTATAACCAATTAAGTTTACATATACTTTTCTTTATTCATATGGTTGAAAAGACAGTGAATATACTCCAGCAGTAACTGTGGAAAGCTAAGGAACTCTGTTAATTTCAGAGAAATCAGGTGTAATACAATGGGGCATTTGTCAGGGCGAATCAGAACCAGACGACTCTGATTCACTTCAGTGACTCGCAGTCCAAACTGAGCAAGGGACTAAAACATGGAGTTCAAATGTTGTCATTTTGTACTTAGTCTGATGAGCATGTTCATACATGTAGGATTTACATAGCTAATTTTCATCATTAAAGAAAGCAACAGTTGTGGATGGTCTTGGCTTGTTTTCTTCTGTCCCAGTGTAGGGGCACAGATGATGTGTTGAGATTGCTTTTTGTGATTCCGCTGGTAAATCTCACTTTTTCATGTTTTGTAGAAAGGTAGAATAAGAAATGCAGAATGCAGACTACAGATATCCCTCAGGAAAAGCTGTATTTAATGGACTGCAATCTTGATAATAATTCTGAAGAAATAGTCCCCAAAATGTTGATAGTTTCAGAAAACTGTTTTTTCCCCTTTTCCTTCAGTATGCTGTTTGGAGATGACAACCAAAAGGAAAATTATCGGCCGCTTGGTGCCCTGCCGGTGTTTTCGTGGTGAAGAAGAAATCGTCTCAGTGTTAGATTACTCTCACTGTGGCCTACAGCAGGTGCCAAAGGAAGTTTTTAATTTTGAACGGACATTAGAGGAGCTTTACCTAGATGCCAATCAAATTGAAGAGCTACCTAAGGTAATCAGTGTTCTGCCTGTAATATGGATGTCAAAGTTGTGTTCTTAAATTTGTATTCAACATGTGCTTCAACTCTGAAATAGGGCTGGCTCTTGACCAGGAGAGCTGCTTACTGTGGGAAGTCATCGCTATTAACTCTAGAGATTCAGTTAAATTTTTACAAATGTTTTTTTCTGCCCTCTCTGAAGAGCCCTAACAGCTGAGACGCTGTTCCTGGAGACGGTACTGCATGGGGAGGAGTAGGGCCACTTACTTCTCCTTGCTGCACAGCACAAGAACAAGGGGCAGCCAATGAGGTCTTAAGTTGGGAAATTAACAATTGTTCAAAAGAAGTACTTCTTGCACAACAAGTAATTAATACGGCTTTTGATATGATACCTTGACCAGGAGTATCCTAATATATGGGGTCGATGATCTCACAGTTGGATCCTCTGTAGCACTGCTTTTAAAAGCAGGCTCTTTGTCAGGATAAGCCGTTTATCCTTGTGGGAGAAATGCCAGTACTGCCTGACTAATATTTTTATAAGTGCAAATGAGGTCCTGCAATAAGATTACTTAAGTTATCCTTCTTGTGTAAAACTTCCTTTATAGAATCTTTAAATCTGTTCTTCTGTTGATTAATGTTTACTATAAGGAATTAAAAGTTACTGTAACTTAAGTGTTCTGGAAACAAAAGAGAGCAAGGTAGTGGAAAAACCAATTAATACTAGGTGCTAGCTACATAATGAAGCATGAAGTAATGTAATCCATTCCTTAATTGAATTTTTCTCAACAATAATGAAAGATGCTTACAAGTCTTTAATTAAACATTGTTCCACTGTAATCCATTCTTCATCATCTCTCAACATATTTCTTTCTTACACTGCTTAGAGACTTTATATAAATTCTATTTACAAATGTAGAAAACGTACTTTTTCCATTACATGGAGTTCTTTTATTCGGATATGATGGTTCATTGCTTAAGATTGCTCACTCAGTCAAGAAATTCTTTACAGATGGTAAGACAGGGTAGCTACAATCTTCTAAGTGTCATAGAAAAATGATACAGAGAACTGCCTTAACTCTCCTGCTACTAGAAAGGACAGCAGACAACCAGATATTTTTTCTGTCCCCATAAATATGAAATGGAGTGTGGTGGAGGCCATTTTATTGCTAATGAATACCTTCAGGACTATTTCTCTTTTAACAATAATATATGGTTAACTTTGTATATTTTGATTACGCTACTGAAGAATCATACTGAAGAATATATAAAGTGTCTAATTTAGCTAGGGATTTTTGGAATATTTGTTTTGGGTCTCTTGAAAGTATGCATCACCATGATATTCAAACTAAATTGCAGTATATAATGGAAGGCAAATATATCAGGGCATAGAACAAGCGCAATATGCCACAATTCTATATGGAAAAACTGAGGGCCAAAGGTAAGGGGTCCAAAATTATGAAATTGGGATGAAGGCGATAGTTGTTAGTGTCGGTCACAATTGAAATGTGCATGCTAATGAAACCTTTGCACTGTGTTGTGGTATCATCTATTTTGTATTTGTTATATGTGAAACAAAACATCAGATAAATACATGCCTTGGAGAGATTTAAATAAGACACTATTTTTGCACCCTTTTCTCATTTTTGGTATGTTATAAATAATATTTTGAAGTAAATACTATGGATTGAAGAAATCCTTTTAATTGGTCTTAAGTTTGGGTAAACGCATCATTTCACATAGTCTTGGCCTTGTATAAGAGAAGATTAATGGGAGTGTTAATTTACTTTCTTGATACCATTCATAATTTTTTGTCTTAAGCCTTTATTAATCAGTACTGTAAATTAAACAGTCCAAATAATTTCTTTATCAAATTCTCTGCTTCAAATATTTTTTGCTGCCTGCAAGTCTGAACTTTTTTCACTATTGACTTAATATTATAGGAGAGAAAATGCCATTTTTTTTTCTTAAAATGGCACCATATTACTTAGCATTAACTTTTGTATTATATGTTATGATCTACCAGAGGCAGAACTTTCCTCTCTCTGTAAATGTGAATTCAAATAACTTCTTCCGGAGAAAATGTGTTTGGTCAATTTTCTGTTATTTACCAAATGTTATGTGCATCTGAAGTTATAATATTCTTTTGAAATTTTCTCTCATCAGGATGCTTTATCATGTTTAAAAATTTAATGAAAAATGCATAGGTAAAAACTCTGTTAAGTCCTTATCTACCTAGATACATGATACACTAGAAACCAATAGATTATTTTGCATTAAACTGATGTATTAAACTTATTCTGCCTGTTTTTTTTAAAAAAATTACCTTACATTTTATGCATCATAATTATCCTTTTTTTTCCTGCTGTCTTCATTAGAAATGGATTCTAGTTCCTAATTTCTAATGTTTTTCTCTTCGTTTAAGGATTTATAGGATTGTTGTATAATTCTTATTCTTTATTTTCCCCTAAATCTAGCCAAGTCTTTTATTTTATTTGCCTTTGACTTCATTATCATGAGCCGCTGCTGCAAGTATGTCAATGAATCAATGACTAATAAAAAAGAATATTGATTTTAATGAAGGTGGAGTCACTGGCAATCAGTATCCAGAAAAACATGAATGAGATGAAAATTCTCCCCAGCAGCTTTCTCTTATAAAGTAAAATTCGGACTAATTTGTAACGGGCAAAATTAGTTTACTTGTTAATGACTTAGGAAAAATTCATCTGTCTCTAACAATGAATTCTAGAAATAGCCACCACTGTGTTTCGCCATCTCACGTGTTGGTAAGATAGATACCAGTAATGCTAAATACGCTACTGAAGTCAGAGGCTACATCTTAATGCTTAATTGTCTCACTGAGAACAAACAATACAACCAATATATAAACAGTGTCGAGGTAATCACTAATGTATAGCTCACATAGATGGGTAGCTACTATAAATTAACTATATTTTTCTTTTGCATGGCATTTGCTATATAATTTATAGTTTCCATTAAAGGCATTGAATACTTTTTCTAAATCTGTTGATAAGAAATCATGTTTCTGTTCTGCAAAGCTAGAAAGTGTTATTCCTTTGTAATCCTGACATCAAATTCCGCCAATATGTTAGCCAATCTATTTCACAGTTATGCCTATGGAAAGTAAAGAGCAGAAATTTCATATTGTTCTCTAATGGCCCTGGAAGCCAACAACCTCTATTGCTGTGTAGTCACGAACTTGAGATATGCAGAATAATAGCCCATTGTTATAACTCAAATTACAGCGCTTTTAGCACCACTTGGTTTCCAGTCTGAAAGGAATAAAAATAGTATATGGACATACAGAATGACAATTACATCAAGGTCGTGATGGCAAGGCCAGAAAGCACTAGAAACTGAGAAAGACACCTTTTGAAAATCCAGTGGGTAAAAAAAAAAGTGGGCAATTTTGGGCCTACATACCTGTATTTCACACTCTTGTATTATTTCTGATACAACAATACATCATAAAATTACTCCAGAGGGAATATTTTTTTATTACACTTCTTCATTCACCAGTTCAAAAGCCTAGTATCTGTTCAGATATTGTCAAAACTTTAAGTTCCTAGCCTTCCTTGGCTTTTAAAAGAAGACTTCTCCAGGAGAATGGCTGCCAACATGCACTGGGAATTTAATTTTCCAAGTATAATAGCATGGTATAGTTTGTAGATGTACTAAATTTCTGCAGGTTCCCTATGCTGAACGTTACTAATGTCTACAGCTGTTCTCACACAGTAATGTGGCTAGAAATTTTAAGAGCAAACCCTAGAGCCTCTTAATTTCATTACTTTCCAGTCTTGTCTAAAATGATGTGCTTTCTTGAAAAAGAGGAAAAGTGGGTGCTCTCAGATGCATTGCAAAGGAATTCCTCATTCTGTGGAGAGATACAGTTCCCTTTATTAACATTGTCTGCAAGCAGAAATGTGTAACCCAGTTTGGTTTCCAGGGTGTACAGTAAATGTTCTGGCTGTTCCTGTAAATTAGATTGGGACCCGCAGGCCCCAGCATGGAAACGGTTCTCTTTGTTACTCCTGCGATGCTGCTGGGCTGTAGCAGTGCATTGTGCTTCTTTGCCCGCCATTGGCATTAGCTGCTGAGCAGTGGGGAGGAGGCTGTTGTACAGTCTTGAGAATGAACAAGTATGTTTCATGTAAGAGGAAATCTGAAAAACCTGTCAATACAAAGGCATTTTGAAACGTGCCTTTTAGTAAAAAGGCCTTTTCATATTTAGTGCCAATTGATAGTGATTGGTGTGGTGCTTCTCATTTTTTATTCATGTGATTCCCTCTCAGTTTTCTGAGAATAGATTACCTTGAAGAAAAGCAGGATTTTTCTAAAGGATTATGAGTTATGGCAGAAAAATGCAGTTTCAAAATGATCTAAAATTTACTTCAAATGATGTACCAGGTTGGCATTTGCACACTGTTTGTGTGTTAATTTTCGCCTCTCCGGATACTTGGCTGAGTTTTTCATCTAGGCAATCAAATTATTATGCATTCTCAAATAGCCTGTAGATGAGTATATAGACTTTATTCTGATATAGAAGTCTGAAAGAAAGACTAAATCTGTTGTAAACATAGCAGTAATATTTGAAGAACACTTTTGAGATGCCTGCAAAGAGAAGTTGTTCTTCTGTGGAACCCACTGAATTTTCTGGTGCCATTTGGTGAATGTGTATTCAGAGAAAGTCCTATGGGGTTTGGTAACTTAACTCTTGAAAGGATCCTGCAGCCACAAAGTGGGTAACGTGAAGTAGGTCTTTCCTGCAGTCTGGTGTGATGGGTAGCACAGGAGTGGTTGGTACCGGGGATTGGAGGCCAGCTGCAATGACACTGTGCTGGGTCCGCAAACAGGGTTTGTACCACCAAAGCGAATAGCCATGCATGACCCTTCCCTGTTACTCTTAGGAGTCAATTTTCCCCAGTACTGTCGCTGCGGAATGTGGAGCACGGCAATAAATAAGCCAAGCAATTATATTGGATTCTCCTCTTATATCTGCTAGCACACTGGGCTTGAAGAAGCTATAAGCTACTCTATCTAAAAAATGCACCTGGTCATTCTTCACATAAGGCACCTCTAACCTTGCAATGCAATGTACCTAAATGTGAAATCACTTTTCATGATTGCTTTCTCTTAGTATGGTTGTTTTATTAATTTTTACGTGTATAAGGTGTTGTATGAGGTAGTGATATTTCTTGAGGAAAGCAGCCATGTTAAATAGGTGCTTTCAACATGATTTATTGATCACTTCAAGTTGAAATGAGGATTGTTTGTGCAGTAGAAATTCTGACATTTTATAAAATTTGAAGTTGAACTAAAAATTAGAATCAAGTCCTGAATTTTGGGGGGGACTTAAGGAACATATCATTCTCATAATGTCAAAGCATTTTGTTTCTTGAAGATAGCAAATTTCCTCTGCATGCAGTCAAAATATCTAAAAATCTAGCATGAAATTAAATTACAAAATCAAATATTTAAATTTATCACCAGCCACAAAAAATTTCAATTGATGTGACACATGAAATATTATATTCCTGCTATCAATCAACTGTTCTGATTATTCTTGTCAACTGTGTATAAGCTGTGTTTATGATGTGAGCAGCCTGTAAAATGTTTTCTCAAATAATGGCTTTTAAAAATATTTTTTGATTATTGAATTCTTACATAGCAAATGTAGTTTTGTGGTATTTGTTGCTTCTGTGTATGAATAATGATCCCAAACTGATCTTTTTCCTGAAACGCTGTAAAGTGTCTTTTTATGTTACAGCAACTGTTCAACTGTCAAGCTTTACGCAAACTGAGTATACCAGACAATGACCTTTCAAGTCTGCCAACCACTATTGCTAGCTTAGTTAATCTCAAAGAACTTGATATCAGTAAAAACGGTAAGAGATCAAAAGTATAAGTATTTTAAAGAACTGTAATTAATATGAACAATAATGTTTTAATTCCTAATGATTAACAAACTTGTGTTCTAGAAAACTGGCTCTTTTTCTAGATTATGTACTATTTTCCTGTCTGGCTTTTTTGAGAAGTCTGGGTAGATATCCACCTTATTTACTTTTCTGTTAAAAAAAAAAAAAAAAAAAAAAAAAAAGGTTGCTTTAGCATTGTGACTGATAAACATTAGAAATAGGTGTGGGAGACCATTTTTCAGTGCACTTATGAACCATTCCACTTTCCAAAGTGGCTTAGTACTTACTGGGCTCTTGTGTAATGTGTTTAAGCATACTTATATGCTGCATGTAAACAACTACCAGGATTTATATAGCCAGTGACTAATTTGCTGATGTGCATTTCCAAATTATGCATCTACATATTTATGTGCGTAAAAACCTTTGCATGTCTGAACTTAAGTGTCTGTTTTGAAAACAAGGCTTAGGCACTCTTGAAAATTTTGAAAAATGTATTATTAATACAGGCCTAGAGACTCTTAGGATTATATGCATGTTCTCCTGAGAAGAGAAGGAGGCAAAGAAGAAAAAGATAAGCAGTTCAGAAAGACATAAAAGGCACAAATATCAGTACAAATGATGTCACTATTTAACTCTAGAAAATTATATAAATCAAGCATTAGCATAATAGTTTTACTACAAGGCATATTATCTGTTCTGGTATATTTATTTAGTGCTTAAGTATCATCTTTTAGACTATAATACTAAAATATATGTATTCTTCCTGTTGTAGTTTAAGTCTGATCTGAAAATGCCAAATGGACTCATTTATGAACAAAATTGAACAGTTTTTAACATGTGTATAATAATTCTTTCAATATTTTTTTAGGAATTCAAGATTTTCCAGAAAATATTAAATGTTGTAAGTGTTTAACAATTATTGAAGCCAGTGTCAATCCAGTCTCTAAGTGAGTATCAGTAGCTGGTGTTCGTTTACTGCAAGTGCAGAAAATTTACACAAAGTGAACTAAAATTTAAAGGCATTGTATCAAGTTCATTGCAGGATTAATCTAAATTGCTTTTTAATTGTTTGAAATCCAGGGTTGATGTATCTATGAAAAGATTTGTGTGCTATGTAACAAATGTGGTGTCTTTCCACATAGTAAAGAAAGTATTGGCAAAGCAGTCCACAGGGGGCTGATACTTTATGTATTTGGGAGGTAAGTCACGCTGCGTCCTCACATACCGTAATCTCTTGGGACTTTGGCAACCCTTATTCCTTCCAAAAACTTGTAATAATAGACACAAAAAAAATCTGTGTTGTAATCCCGTGATTTATAAGATGGAGCAAAGCAGATGAAAGGATGAAATTTTACTATTTCAGTTCAAAAAAAAAAAAAAGAGAGAGAAAAAAGAAAGAAAAAGAAAGAAAGAAAGAAAACACCTTTGGCTTAAAACCCTTAGCTAGGAAGGGAGAAAAGGCTGATGTGACTTCAATGTGCCAGGCATTTGAATTTCATGTGGTTATAGCAATGTGGAAAAGATGAGAATGGGCAAAAATGTTGTCTGTAACAAGTAAGTTCTTCTTGAGAATTTGGGAAGAAAAAGAAGGTGAGAGAGAAAGTCATCTTTCTCTTTCTAAATATACATTGTTATTATCTCCATAGCAACTTCGGTGTGAGCATTAAGCTTTTAACTGTTTTTTTTAGGCTGCCAGATGGCTTCACACAACTTCTAAATTTGACCCAGCTCTATCTAAATGATGCCTTTTTGGAGTTTCTTCCAGCTAACTTTGGAAGGTAAGAATTAGTCATCAAAGCACATTGCTCTTTCATATGAACCCAGTTTAGGCTTTAAGGGACCATTTTAAAGCTGTATTCTCTTTAAAAACAAAACAAAGCAAAACAAAAAACCAAAGAGATTTTGGCTTTTCAGCCCTATTTTGATGAATGATTGTTGCTAGAGAGTGTGTTATGTCAGCAAGAATTTTATGATGAAGTGATGCAGTTTGGTGGTTTAGGGAAAAGGTGAGAAGAAATAGAAATTGAAGAAGAGGCCTGTCCTTGATCAAATGTTTTATTAAATTGTAGCAAGGGCAGAAAACAACAATATGGTCTGTGCCTATTGAAAAATGGAAAGAAAGAAGTGTTGTGCGTCAGAAAGGAAGAAAGAAATGACTAAGCGTGGTGGAGTAACCAAAGGAAAATTGTGAATACAAGAACAAGAGAGAAGATTCAAAAGACAACAGAGCAGAAAGGATGTAGAATGAGAGTAAAAATAAATGCAGCAGAAACTGAGCCAAAAAGTGTTAGATAAGGACAAAGCAGCGGGGGCAGGGGTAATCAAAATTAACACAATTTGCCATGGCCATTTAAGAGGGCAGTGGAAGCCAGTGGATCCTTACACTGCACAGGTCTGGCAGAAATGTCAAGTTTATTCCCCCTCTGTTACAGTGGTGAGGGAATGGTCAACCTTTCTGCCCTTGGCTTGTCCAGTTCGGCGAACAGCTCAGCAGACAAAGGATTAACAGAGAAAATATATGGTGGTGTTACAGCATACACCTTGTATTAATTTTTTCTTGATCCATCCAGCTAACCGTATGTGTGTTTTATTGTTCTACTGGGAACATCAACTCAGCACTCCAAAATTAATACTGAGGTGACATAATTTGTGTTGGAAATGACATTGGTATGCTCAGGCATTGAGAACTAGAAAGTGCTGCTTTATCAGCATTCACTGGATGGGCCTGTCACTGACGCAGAGCTGAGTCTGGGCTTTATGCTGGAATACTTTTAGAAAATGCCTAGTTGAAGAAAGAGGAAGAAAAATTGTCATTGTTTGCATTTGATGAGTGTTTGAAATATCAGAGTAAATTCTAAGACAGCCTGCTTCTGCAGTTTGGAATCAGACATTATGTTCAAATGTCAAGGAAAAATAAATGTATTAAATACCCTGCAATTTATCAGATGTGTAGTGTTTATATTCATTATGGTCTTCTAAATCCTTGCTGGTACTTTGTCTAATAATCTGTTGCTTGAGGACATGTCTATTATTCTAAATCTAGTAGCAGAAAGCACTAACTTTTTTCTTTCTTTCTTTTACAAATGCATATTTTAGCTAAATGAAATTACACTAGTTCCAGTTGTGGTTGTTATTCCTTTATTATTATTCTGCTCCTATATTATCTGTTTCGTGTCTTGCATTTACAAATCCTTGTCATGTTTCCAAAGCTTCCCACGTTAGCATAGAGACATTGCTCTTTTTTTTTTTTTTTTAACTAGACACATGTAGCTCTTCAACTGTATCTCCCTTATTGCTCTTCTCCAAATTTTAGTTCTTTTTTAATATCTTCTGGTACAGTAATATTCAGTTAGTCTGTTGTAGTCTCATTTAGCCATGTGAATAAAGTCAGGAACAGAGTCTACCTGAGCATCACGTAAATGTTTCTACACATTTCGCATTTAAAGTTGCTCTTTTTAGTCCTGGTTAAGCACAACTGTAGGACTTGAAATGTTTTCTGCTTTATTTCTTAGGAAAAAGGTAAAACCATAGTTTTCTAGAAAAGCATGATATTGGGAAGCCTGAGGTTCCATGAAACAGAAAAATGGTGGTGTGCTGGACAGAGAACTATTTAAAGCTTTGCTGTATTTTCAAAAAACTTTTCTCACATGTTTACACTTATGGCTCTAAAGGACCTGGACTGTAGAGACAGAGTAATATGCAAAGCAGCATTCATGAAATCATTGAAAGTCACCATAAAGTTCCTCAATAAACTTTCTTCACATTTAGAAATGATGATATCAGCCTAAAAGCTTTAATAGTATGACTCTGGGCTGACATCTCTGTTTAGATATGATACAATTACAAATTAGTTATGCAGAACTGCTCAGTTTCACATAGGCCTTGAGCAATCCTGGGCACAGTCAGCTCATGCATTGAATGTGCCTCCAAAAATAGTTGATTTGATACTCCAGATTTTCTGAGAGTGGAGTTGTACGATTTGAGATGAAGAGGAAAGGACCTTGTTCATCCTTTTGGTTTTATATCCTCTTTTCCTCCCCACGTTGATTATAATCTGGGATTAAAGAACCAGCAAAAGGGTGACATGAATCAAAATCCTTTCATGTTTATGAAATTATCTTCCTAGACAATATAGGTAATTAGACAATTATGCCCCAGATTCTGGAACTCTAATACCTTAGTTTCTTCATCTCTTACCTGATGTGTCCTCATTCCTTCCCATTATTCTACTTCATGAAATTTATTGCTGTGGCTTAAATAATATTGCCAGTTAGAGTTTGCACAATGATATGGAATTATGAAGTACTGTTTTGTATAGGTTCTAATTTATGCCAACAGTTAAGCACATGTCCTACTTCTTTGTAAAATACAGTAAATTCAATGGAGATCTGTTCTGTAGTATTGGTCTGCTGTGTGGAGTTGTAGAATTCAGTGCTCAAAAAATGCAAAAGAAAGTTGTGAACTAAATAGCAATTGCTTTTTATCCTTTAATAGGTTTGGAAATGTTTGAGAGAAATTAACTTTTATTATGTTTGCCTTGTTTGAATAATTAATAAAAATAGTTTAGAATTACTATGAAAAACTGCTATATGTCAAAGTTTTTCAGAAGAGTTCAGGTAAGAACAGATAAGCCCTTATCTGAAGCTATCTATCCTTACATTAAGCTATTTGGTTCTGAATACATTTTGTATCGTATTCAGCCCCACAATGACTGGACATCTTACTACTGTGCATTAAGCGGACTCTTTTTTTGTTGAAATAAGTAGTTTCAAATCATTCTTCTGAATTCCTGGACTAATTCATTGCATGAACTAATGATTTTCTATCATATTTCTAGACTTGTCAAATTGCGAATTTTGGAGTTAAGAGAAAATCACTTGAAAACTCTACCAAAGTAAGTGGTTGAATATTTACATAAGTCTCACCTGAAATTTCTGAAAGTGCAAAATATTTTTATTGTTGGCAATGCAATAGTGTCATTTCTGTTAAGAGTTATTTTTTCCATGGTTTAAAGAAATTCTACTGAATGTTTTTAGCAAAAAGCAAACATACAATGGATGATGGAGACTAGTACATTAGCTGACTGTAACTCAATATCCAAAAATCTATAACATGACATTTTAAAATAAGAGATGTGAACAAAACTGGAAAACAACATATGAGATAACCCTGGCCAGTGATTATGTGACAGTATTTTCCTCATCAAGAAGTAATCTGATGTACTGAAAACATACTCAATGTAACCTCAGTAGAACAATCTCCCCATATGATCTGTACAGAAGTTAAATGTATTTCATGGTTTACAATACTATTTGGAAACCTCTGTCATCAGAATATTAAAGAAATGTCAATTTGGTAGTGCTTCTTGTTACTGTTTACCAAAAAAGAAAGTTGCTATAGTTTGTCGCTGTAATTTGACCAACATTTAAATGATATTTTGAAAAGGAAACAGTAAAGAACTGAAAAATAAATTATACACTTCCAATGCTAAATATAGGAAGTTGCACTGTATAAAGCAAGGAATATGTTTTCGTATTCAGACCAGCATTATATCATTGCTTTCTGTAACAGGGATCCTAACCAATGAAAAAATATCCATGGATTTGGAGATTGTTATAAACCGGGGTTGTATATCCCCATTATAAGTGAGACTTACGGTGGTGGTAATAGACTGTGGTTATGAAACGTTGCTAATACTGAATTGCATATTATTTAGCTCATTTAAAAATGGCACCCTTTTTAGCAAGCATGCATTTATCAAAATCTCCTATGCAGGCATTTTGCCTATAATGGGATATAGTGACATTTTCTCTACTTCCTGTGGGCTTTTATCCACAGCACTTTCCTTTCCAAAGGAAAGCTATTTTTTGTGTCAAAAGTAATATTCTTTATATCAGTTGAAAACACTTTTTTGTATAAAATTTGATTTCCTCTGTTCTGAGTTACATTTACTATTTTGAAAAACAAAGCTTCAATCTGCCACCAAAGTGTTTATCTGCATTAAAAAATGAGACGAGTTCAGGACAGCAGATTTGCAGCCTTTGAGGTCTTTATCATCTGAAAGGCTATATACATGCTGTAGTGTATACATGTTATCTAACTACCTATGATTCTGAAAGTAAGAAAGTTCTTTGATTCTTGTAACCAAGGGAAACATTATTTGTAGATGTGTTTGCTCTCTGCTCTTTGCTATGGCAGAAGGCTTTGCTATATACTACTGAGATGGACTGGAAATAAAAGGTTTTGCTTATGCAAATGCTATCCTTAAAACTGCTAGATAAAAGGGACAGCTGTGTTACGAAATAAAGTAAGAGTAAGAGGAAGAAAGCTGACAAGGTCATTTTTGCATCAACTGGGACAAAAATGGGAGAACTATGCATTTCTGGGCTTCTTTTGTTCTCTAGAAGACAAAATTATTATAATATATAATATTATATATAATTATTGCTTTGCTCTGCAAGCAAAAAAAGGTGCACTGTGTAATAGATGGACAGGAGTTAACACATATTACAGAGTGTTGATGTAGAGGATATACGTCCTGCTTCCTAGTTAGGGTGAATTTGACCTCTTTTATACAAAGACAGTAACTACTCATCCAAAACAGCATCTCTTTGCATACCGGAGTGGGCCTGGGAAGATCAGGGTTGAGCGTGGGAGGTTGGAGGAGGAGAGTGGTGAGGCCATGGGCGACTGCAGACACGATAGTGTCGCAAGTAGAGCTAAAGCAGTATTGGTATGTCGTTTAGGCTTTACAGGGAAACAGGAAAATGTTAAATACCAGACTTCTATTTTCTCAGCCAATAAGAGAAGGAAAATTGGGACAAGAAAACTGTGTCTACAATAGAACCATCTGTAGCTGGGAAAAAAAATGCAGTAATATAAATCAGAATGTATTTTACAATCTAGTTGCAAAAATGGTGATGCAGGTCTTTCAGATATGTACTTAAAGACTTTCTTTCTTATCCTACAATTTATTAGATATATTGTGAATAAAATGACCTGATTATGTTGGTAGTTTGTCCAGTAGCTCTAATGTAAGAAAAGACATGAAAAGGAAGGCAAATAAATAATTTTAATACTGTGATTTGGCTTTTCAATAGATGTGAAATGTATTGTAAGACTGTTTTAAGTAACTTCTGCTCAGTACTATTACTATGTTAAATGCATCTTAAAAGATGTTATCAAAAAGCAGATCATATTCTTTCATGTGTTCTGTGCTGTAAAATATATGTATAAATAATTTTTACAGGAAAAATTTAGCATTTTGGCATAAACAGGAATTAAATGTGCTTTGTGTTTACCATAGTTCTAATTTTGCTATATTTCATACTAGCTCAACAGTCAAGATTGTTGTAAAATGTATCCATAGTAACTGAATGCAAAAGGTTCTCAAATTATTTACAAAAATATCAGATTAAGTAAATACTAACTATAGTTGGCTGAAAAGTAGCTCTCTAACCAGAGCATAGATCTCCGAAGTCTCCCTCTTTAATACAACTTGCATTAAAAAATGAGAGCTTCCATTTGCTGAATTTGTTGTCATAATTTTACGGCATCTAAAACATGTCCAAACATATCACTGTATTCACAGACACTTTCCTGATAGAAAATTAGTGAAGCATTGTTCATAAAATGCTTTGAAGATTCTTGTGATTTCTTCTGACAAGCATACCAAACATTTAAAATAACACTGTCTTGCTGTATCATATTGGGCTGGAGACATACATTTCTCTTCAAATGAAAATGTTGCAGGATGTTCGTATTTTCTGTCAGCAGTACTTTCTCTTCAGAAAACACTAATAGGCTTACAAATATTTTTAACATGCTGAAAATATTTGTATGTTTAGTCTATAGATATTCGCAATACTGTTTTATAAAATCAGTAATTTGTTTTCTCTCTTATACGGTTTGATTAAAGATTATTATTGATTTCCAGGATCTTTTGAGCATTGAGAAATATTTGGAAATCTCTGGCCCATATTGCAAATAATTTCTAATATTTTATTAAAGCTTTAATTTGTGCAACAAAAATAGAAGAATCTCTTTTTTTCTCTTGAATTTCTGTTAAATGTTTCAGAGCATTTGTGAGATTCTGGCCAAGTTTCATACGTTTGAACAATTTTGTCACCTAGTTCACAGGGTTGTCTGTTGGCGTGAAGAACCAACTAAGATAATTTTTATTATTCTGTTTGGATAAAAGTGTACTTGATCATTACTCGCTGTAACAACATGTAATATTACTGTGTAATAGCTCGGGATGGTGTTTTATAGACCACGGCTCCCGATAGCTCCATAGTGTTCTGTTTTATAATACTACCGTACTGAATGTGTATTTGAAGCTGCAGGCGAGGCTTTCCAATTGCTAGTGATGTTTTCAGTCATTTTGCACCCAAACTGAAGCAATTAAAATCAGTGGACAGATTCCCATTAGCTTCAATGGGTTTTGAATGAGGCAGTTTGTGCTTCAGTGTTTAATTATTCTGTGTTTGAGTAATTTCTCGGAGTGGAGAGATGTAATTCCCAGTTTTCTATGCTGCTGAATAAGGCTGTAGTTCAACTTGGATGGGAAGATATGGGAAAAGAGGAGGCTGCCAAGGGAGGAACCACTTAGAGAACTGCAGCAGGAGACTGACAAGTCCCACAGGTCCCACCAAGGGCCCATCTTGCCCTCAGTCCTGTTTATGGCAGTGATCAACACTTACCTTGGAGGATCTGAGTAACTTGGTGACTGTAAACCTCTTTTCTTTAACAACCTTTTCTATGTCATTTGTAAACTACCCAGCATGTGCCCCAGCCCAGAGCCTGACTATTGGCAGCTCCTCCTCCTCCACCCACTCCTTTAAAATTGGTATTTTTTCCAGTCTTTGGTTATTTATTTATCCATGTGAAGACCCTCTGTGGTCACATAGCTGCTTAGGTTAAGAACTTTCAGTGAAGGACCTTTGCATATATCTCTTGGAAATAAGGGTAGACTTTATTGTCCAGCTCTTCTGTACACTTGACTCTTTCAAAAGACTCCAGAAGTATTTTGAGTCATCCCTACTCATCACAAAAACTGTGTTGAATTTCCCCAGTGTGTTGTATTTGTCTGCATATCCCCTTATTCTATTGTTTAAAAGAGTTTCTGTTAATTTGTCTGGTAAAGTTGTCAAAGTCACTGGTCTGTAGTTTCCTAGGCTTATCCTGGAATGATTTAAAAATTGTTGTGACATTAGTTACACACTGCCCAGTCATCTAGCGCTGAAGCACTTTGTGAGAGGTTTTGTGTGTCATACATGCATGCTGTCTGAGCTCTTAACTGTGGGTAAGCATTGCAGCATGGGAGCCTGCCCAAACTCTGTATACAAATGCAGAAAATTAATTTAGTTTTTCTGCTCTGACCTTCTTTTTTTCTGAGCATTCCTTTTAGATCTTTTCCATAGACTCTGGCAGGCTTCCTGCTCATGAGGGGCCTGAGGAAAGATTTATTATTACTTTTTATACCTTTTTGCAAATATTTCTGAAGATATTTTCTGGCCTTCTGTAGTTAACCATTCTGTTCTATTTTCCTTATTTGGACATATTTTCATCTTTTAAAGGATGTCTTCTAAGTCTCCTATATTTTCTTATTTGCCACGTTGGTTTTGGATTTTCTCAAGTCCTTTTGACAGGTGATTTTGTATTGCTTTAAGTGTCTTGATCTTCTCCCAGCAGCGATTTAGCTTGCTTAGCTGATGTGGAGGACTTCTCACTGTGATTATTTTCCTCTTACCGTCCAGAGCCATCCTGACAAAGGCTGGAGCTACTAAACTCAGAGGCCAGACATTACTCCTGAAGGTCTCCTCATGTGGGTCCTGACCTTCCCTCCCCATGCATGTCCGTTACTTGCTGTTTGGTGCAGAGAGGGACAGACTG